ACACAGTGGCCTCCATCAATCTTAAATGGAAGAAGTTTGGAACCACCAAGACTCTTCCTAGAGCTGGCCGCCCGGCCAAACTGAGCAATCGGGGGGAGAAGGGCCTTGGTCAGGGAGGTGACCAAGAATCCGATGGTCACTCTGACAGAGCTCCAGAGTTCCACTGTGGAGAATGGAGAAACTTCCAGAAGGACAACCATCTCTGCAGCACTGCACCAATCAGGCCTTTATGGTAGAGAGGCCAGACGGAAGCCACTCCTCAGTAAAAGGCACATGACAGCCCGCTTGGAGTTTGCCACAAGGCACCTAAAGGTCTGGTCTGATGAAACCAAGATTGAACTCTTTGGCCTGAATGTCAAGCGTCACGTCTGGAGGAAACCTGGCACCATCCCGACGGTGGAAGCATGGTGGTGGCAGCATCATTCTGTGGGGATGTTTTTCAGCAGCAGGGACTGGGAGACTAGTCAGGATCGAGGGAAAGATGAATGGAACAAAGTACAGAGAGATCCTTGATGAAAATCTGCTCCAGAGCACTCAGGACCTCAGACTGGAGCGAAGGTTCACCTTCCAACAGGACAACGACCCTAAGCACACAGCCAAGACAATGGAGGAGTGGCTTTGGGACAAGTCTCTGAATGTCCTTGAGTGGCCCAGCCAGAGCCCGGACTTGAACCCGATCGAACATCTCTGGAGAGACCTGAAAATAGCTGTGCAGTGACGCTCTCCATCCAACCTGAAAGAGCTTGAGAGGATCTGCAGAGAAGAATGGGAGAAACTCCCCAAATACAGGTGTGCCAAGCTTGTAGCGTCATACCCAAGAAGACGCGAGGCTGTAATCGCTGCCAAAGGTGCTTCAACAAAGTACAGAGTAAAGGGTCTGAATACTTATGTAAAAATCTGTTTTTGCTTTGTCATTAGTTAACGGTGCGCGCTAGTAGCATTTCAATCGGTGACGTCACTATTGTGTGAGAGATGTGGGGGAAAAAAACTATTTAACCAATTTTAGAATAAGGCTGTAACATAACAAAAAGTGGATAAAGTCAAGGGGTTTGAATACTTTCCGAATGCACTGTATAGCGGATTGTTAATCAATCAATCAAATGTATTTATAAAACCCTTTTTACAACAGCAATGTCACAAAGTGCTATACAGAAACCCAGTGTAACAGTTTTGCTTCCGTCCCTCTCCTCGCCCCTACCTGGGCTCGAACCAGGGACCCTCTGCACACATCGACAACAGTCACCCTCGAAGCACCGTTACCCATCGCTCCACAAAAGCCGCGGCCCTTGCAGAGCAAGGGAAACCACTACTTCAAGGTCTCAGAGCGAGTGACGTCACCGATTGAAATGCTACTAGCGCGCACCGCTAACTAGCTAGCCATTTCACACCGGTTACACGCACCCCCCTTTGACCTCCTCCAATGTAACAGTGTTGCTTCCGTCCCTCTCCTCGCCCCTACCTGGGCTTGAACCAGGGACCCTCTGCACACATCGACAACAGTCACCCTCGAAGCACCGTTACCCGTCGCTCCACAAAAGCCGCGGCCCTTGCAAAGCAAGGGAAACAACTACTTCAAGGTCTCAGAGCGAGTGACGTCACCGATTGAAATGCTACTAGCGCGCACCGTTAACTAACTAGCATGGTCCTAGGGCTCAGGTCCTCCGGGAGGGGAGGGAGAGAGAATTAGAGGGAGAATACTTAAATTCACACAGGACACCGGATAAGACAGGAGAATAACACCAGATATAAATGACTGACCCTAGCCCCCCGGCACATAGACTATTGCCAATAGATACTGGAGGCTGAGACGGGTCGGGAGACACTTTTTAATGCTATTAGTAAAACAGCTGTATCGTTAGATTGGTAAAAGATAGTATTTTTGTTCTGTTTTCAGATTTGAATAGCAGAGAAGTAGAGGAAGATTTATTTGGCTCTAACTTTTTGGGTAAGTTTTTGGGAAAGTGGTCAAAGTAGCTGATGTGTCATAAGTTACATTGTTCACAGTGAATAGAATAGAATGTTGGGAGTCATGATGTCACAATGTGCCCTTTAGAATGCTGAGTAAATTCCATGAAAGTGGATGGAGGACAAAAAGAAAGACAAAAAGCTTAATAGTTTAAAAAGTATAAAAGCTATTAAAAGGTTGTCTACAAGCACACTGGTCCTGACCGCTCTGCTCGTTTTGAAGTCTGAATGACGTTTCGAGCTTAAATGGTGTAAGAGGAGTAGCGTTCCAAATAATGATAATAATAATATAAAGTCAGAAGTATGACGAAGATTTAAAAACTGGGACGTTTACTGTCGCAAGTCCCATTAATGATCAACTTGTGTTCTGGACTTGGAGCATAACAATGGGAAAAGAACATCGCACTTCAATCACGGTTCTTGGATCAGAAACGTTTTACAGATTACACTACAAACTTGGATGTATGTGTAAAATTCCTTTATTATGTGGAACGTGCAATTTCTTGCAATTATGGTTGTATTATTTTTATTTATACAAGTTTATAGGGTATTCTACATTCTTAGTTTTGAATTACGCAAACTAATGTGTTTATAGTATTGTTCAATTTTAAGCATGTTCATTATTTGTATTGACCAATTATCACACACTTACAGACTTTCACTGTGTTACTTCTATATGCTATTCAGGGCTCTATTCAATCTGTATCACTGAAGCCAATATATATGCAGCGTTTAGCGTGAATGCAGTCTCCGCTAACACGGAAACATTGCCTTTAAAGTTCAATCACGCTGTTACGCTGGACTGTAATTTGATTTGTTATTCTAATTCGTTAATTTTTTATTTAACCGGCAGTGTTGTTTTTGGACGCATGAATCACGATGTGAGTCATGTGTCCAAAGGGGGAATTACCAGTCCCCTGGGGCCCTTTGGTAAATATGCAAATTGTTTTGTTCACATGCCTGCCTGTAAAAGGAAAAAATATATGTTGGTAATCGTTGACAGTTAATCCAAGTGGATTGAAGTTTTCCCCGGGTCAAACACTTTCTTACAAATAGCTAGTAATGTCGCTGTACTACAGAATGTATCAGATTGTTGGGTTTGTGGATTGTTACCAGATAGTGCCAAGACTATGCCATGTGGACCAAAGCAGATAACCTTAGACAAAGAGCTTGACTGGGTAAAGGATAAGGTGTTTTATATGAAGATGTGTATTGTTTTGTTTTGGTCTTGCTTCAATACAAATCTCACCAGATTGGGTCTGCTGGATCGGGATTTCTCCCTAAGGATTAGCCCTCTAACTCCCTGACCCTGTAACTCTGCGGTGAGCTCGCCAAGATGATAGGGGAGTATAAGCCAATTTGCAAAAATGGTTTCAACTGTGTGTTGTTATTCTCTTTGACATTTGCCTTAGACATTTGTATTAAGAATATTGGTAGAAGTAATAATTTGTCATACAGTGAATCAGAAATGCCCTAAACTAAACTGTTGTTCTGGTCTGTCCTCTCTCAAGGTTATGGCGAAGTTGACCATAAATGCTATCTAGATGCATAGAAGGGATAATTCGTCCGAGAACAGTGTCAGCCTCCCCCCGTCTAACCAGCTGAAGTGATGGCGACAAAGGTGTTCACTATGGTCCTTCATCACTTCTACCTGAAACCGGAGTCCGAGCCAGCAACCTGTGCACAGCATCCAGTCGAAGCTATCAACTGCCTTTTCTCTCATGCCTTTTCTCTCAGGAGTGCGACATGAGTCCACGTGGAGTGAGCATGGAGAGAGATCCCGTTCAAACTTCTCTCATGGTGCTGGTGTACTGGTCGGAAAATGGACAAGACATAATGGACGTTAAAGGATGGTGGCGGCTCAGGTGAGAGATTCGTCTGCTTGGGAAAATCAGAATTATTCCCCAGATATTGAAATCGGGACATTATCAAGGGCCATCTACTTTGAACATGTGCCATTGGGAGGACGAACTGAAACAATATCTGAAGAAGAAAATGAAGAAACTCCAGAAGAATGAGGGCCGGGAATGAGAGGGGTGGTCAACTGTGCGCGTAATTGAGTTAGGCTTGTCCAAAATTGTTTATTTGGGGTATCAGGTTGATATGGAGGTCTGCACACTGCGAAATGTATAGTAATTTAGACAAAAAATGCATTGAGATACCGATCTGTCATTAACACGTCACTCGTGACAAAAGCTCCAGCTGAAATGTCATTGCCAGAATCCATAAATTAAATTGTGTAATGAAGCATATGTGTAACTGTATGAAGCAAAGGTCTTAAGTTAAAACATTCTACTGCAATGGTTTTATAGGTAAGAGCTATGGAAACAATATGAGTCTACAGACCCATTGTGTGTATATTTTAGATTGTACAACCCAGAGTGAAGGGTTTGAAAGGATGAAGTGTCTGGTTTTATGTGTTGATTTCGCTTACTTTAATAGAAGTATAGAACCTTTTGATAGAAGCTATAATCGAATGCATACCGTAAAATGTTACGATAATTATCACAGAGTGATAAGAGGAGGGAATGTGAAGGAAAATTGTATGTTTGTGCTTTTCTAATAACCAATTCGACTGGGTTCATGCAAGTGACTGATTGATCGTGCCTGGTAGGAATCCTCACTATCAGTATAAGCAATTTGGCAGTACGCCCAGAACATTGTTTTGAGAACCGAAAGGGATATATCAGTTTCAAGGTCTCAGCTTGGAGAGAAGAAGCCTCGTGAGGTATTGGTCGGTCGATTGCATGAACCAAACGTTAATGATGAATTAAAATAATGAATAATGTAAATCATGCAAATATAACTTGTCTGTGTAAGCAGTATATAAGATAACTAACGGGACTGCCCCGACAGAGCTCCTGACAGACGTGTACTACTTGGTGCATTAAGTTTGTTGGAACCTCTCCAGCTTGCTGATAATAAAGAATGATTCGTTTAAGTTTGACTTGGAGTCCCTGGTGGTAATTTCCACAACACTCCTTATGGAATTGTCATGTTTGGCTTGACAATGACAATGGCGTAGGCAAAGCCACAAACAGATCTGGGACCAGGCTAGTATCAGAGAGGTCTGGCTGCTACATCCTTCAATGATAGCCTGTGATGTCATCATCTCCACATGGGGAAACTCTTTGTCTGGACCTACAGGGAGAACACAGCAACAGGTGAGGTGACACGTCTATAACTTCTTAGATATCTAGATCTACAAAAACACATTATAATCCGTCATTATATTCATGTCACAAGACTGAGAAAGGATGCTTAGTAATTAAGTTACTGTACACACTTCAGGGTGAATCTTTACATCCACTTACAGTGAGGGAAAAAAGTATTTGATCCCCTGCTGATTTTGTATGTTTGCCCACTGACAAAGACATGATCAGTCTATAATTTTAATGGTAGGTTTATTTGAACAGTGAGAGACAGAATAAATTGATTTGCATTTTAATGAGGGAAATAAGTATTTGACCCCTCTGCAAAACATGACTTAGTACTTGGTGGCAAAACCCTTGATGGCAATCACAGAGGTCAGACGTTTCTTGTAGTTGGCCACCAGGTTTGCACACATCTCAGGAGGGATTTTGTTTGCAGATCTTCTCCAAGTCATTAAGGTTTCGAGGCTGACGTTTGGCAACTCGAACCTTCAGCTCCCTCCACAGATTTTCTATGGGATTAAGGTCTGGAGACTGGCTAGGCCACTCCAGGACCTTAATGTGCTTCTTCTTGAGCCACTCCTTTGTTGCCTTGGCCGTGTGTTTTGGGTCATTGTCATGCTGGAACACCCATCCACGACCCATTTTCAATGCCCTGGCTGAGGGAAGGAGGTTCTCACCCAAGATTTGCCGGTACATGGCCCCGTCCATCGTCCCTTTGATGCGGTGAAGTTGTCCTGTCCCTTTAGCAGAAAAACACCCCCAAAGCATAATGTTTCCACCTCCATGTTTGATGGTGGGGATGGTGTTCTTGGGGTCATAGGCAGCATTCCTCCTCCTCCAAACACGGCGAGTTGAGTTGATGGCAAAGAGCTCGATTTTGGTCTCATCTGACCACAACACTTTCACCGAGTTCTCCTCTGAATCATTCAGATGTTCATTGGCAAACTTCAGACGGCCCTGTATATGTGCTTTCTTGAGCAGGGGGACCTTGCGGGCGCTGCAGGATTTCAGTCCTTCACGGCGTAGTGTGTTACCAATTGTTTTCTTGGTGACTATGGTCCCAGCTGCCTTGAGATCATTGACAAGATCCTCCCGTGTAGTTCTGGGCTGATTCCTCACCGTTCTCATGATCATTGCAACTCCACGAGGTGAGATCTTGCATGGAGCCCCAGGCAGAGGGAGATTAACAGTTATTTTGTGTTTCTTCCATTTGCGAATAATCACACCAACTGTTGTCACCTTCTCACCAAGCTGCTTGGCGATGGTCTTGTAGCCCATTCCAGCCTTGTGTAGGTCTACAATCTTGTCCCTGACATCCTTGGAGAGCTCTTTGGTCTTGGCCATGGTGGAGAATTTGGAATCTGATTGATTGATTGCTTCTGTGGACAGGTGTCTTTTATACAGGTAACAAGCTGAGATTAGGAGCACTCCCTTTAAGAGTGTGCTCCTAATCTCAGCTACTTACCTGTATAAAAGACACCTGGGAGCCAGAAATCTTTCTGATTGAGAGGGGGTCAAATACTTATTTCCCTCATTAAAATGCAAATCAATTTATAACATTTTTGACATGCGTTTTTCTGGATTTCTTTGTTGTTATTCTGTCTCTCACTGTTCAATAAACCTACCATTAAAATTATACACTGATCATTTTTGTCAGTGGGCAAACTTACAAAATCAGCAGGGGATCAAATACTTTTTTCCCCTCACTGTAAGTTAAATTTTCACTTAGTCATGCATTACTGTCAATGGGAAACTAAGTGAAAAGTTGAGGTAAGCAAACGGCCCCCATGGTTTAACAACACCCCCCACCCCTCCCAATTTGCCAGTTACCCACTAATATGTATAAAAGGGGTATACCTGCAAATAAGTGGTAAATAAGGGGCTGTTTGAAAGAGGGTCATATAAACATTGCCTTGCATTCTTTACAGGTAACATACCACATTTTCTGTCTGAAATGGCTATAAGTGAAAATTTGAGGTAAGTGGGAATTATGATTCACCCATAAAAGAGAGAGGATATTTGCCTTGCAGTTTCCTGTTTCCTCTGTGCTGCTGATGCTCCACTGGATGGTAACGGTCATGTGACGTCTCCAGATGGGGTTCCGGTGTAGAAGGATGGTTCCAGACACCGTCTCTCCACCGAGCAGCGAGATCGGCCTGTCCAACATGAACAGAGTCTGCTTCCAGTGGGTTGGCCTGATGGAGGGAAGAGGGAGGGGCTGATATCACATTGGCTGTACTGATTGTGAAAGCTGTTAGGGCCCAGTGTCTACCTCCACTACTTACTCAGAGTAGGGGCCAGTGTCTAACGCCAATGTGGTTTTGTCTCTCTCCAGGCTCTGGAACTGAACTCTGAACCAGGAAGTGAACCCGTGGAACGTCCCGGCCTTTTCCACGACGAAGGTAAACTGGCCCCTCAGCTCCTAGACAGGTAACACGTTGACTTACATCAGTGTGTGTAAATTACATGTAATTATATTGTTTTACACCATGGCATTGTTGAATACTCCTTTCTGATTGGCTTGAAGGGCATTCTAGAGCGTGCATTATTTCCCTATAGCGCACTGTATATTTGTACGGTAGAAATCAATGGCTATAGTTCATTTCTACATGTTTTGTTTGAGCTGCTTTTGAAAGCAAAAGTCTAATTGAAAACAGTATTGGTATTGTTGAATTATATTTTCATAATACCAAGCTAGTTCTGATGGTTTGGTTAGCTATTATTATTATTATTATTATTATTACTAAACTAGCAAGTCTGTTTGTTTGGTTACCACAGCAACTACTGTAGCTGTCTAGTAAACTTGCTAGCTACTTCAGTGGATGTTGAACACATTTTTACCGGTAAATGAACACATTTCTATCTGCAAATGAACACATTTCTAGTGGCAAATGTGTTAAATTATATCCATGGTATAAAAGGGATAATCAACTCGGGGCTCTAAACATTCTCTGGAAAATAATGCAACTCCGTGGAAGTTCAGAACACACCTTCCACTTGGTTTATTATTTTCCATAGAATGCATAGCCCCTCGTTGATTATCCCTTACATATACACCCCGTATATGATCCAGTATCAGATCTGTGAGAAGCAGAAGTACTGTACCTCTAGATCTGTAACATGCAGCGTGAGCATGTCCAGAGTGATGACATCACAGGGGTTGGCCAGGCAGTCTTCAGGCTGGAGTAGGTGGCTGAACCTGGGCCTGGAGAAGAACTCTGACTGGGCCAGGGATCTGGAGGGCGGGGCCAGTCACATTAACTAACCACTCACAGCCTCTCAATATTGTTTAATGACAGACTTACCCGATTGGTTTGGTTGTTTAATTTGCACTGTAAAGACTGGAGAGTAGCTGACACAGCAATTTTAAGTTTGTTGTTTGACTTTACCATAGATGTTACGGTTACCACTTCTTCTTTTTTTAGTTTTTATATATTATTATTTAGTTTTACCCCTTTTTCTCCCCAATTTCGTGATATCCAATTGATCAGCTGGCGACCGAAGTCAGCGTGCATGCGCCTGGCTGCCACAAGAAGTCGCTAGAGCACGATGGGACAAGGACATCCCAGCCGGTCAAACCCTCCCCGGACGACGCTGGGCAATTGTGCGCCACCTCATGGGTCTCCCGGTCTCGGCCGGCTGCGACACAGCCCGGGATCGAACCCGGATCTGTAGTGACGCCTCTAGCACTGCGATGCAGTGCCATAGACCGCTGCTCCACTCGGGAGCCCCAATGCTTATCACTTCACACCAAACTACACCCTTGCCACCAAGAGAGAGCTTGCTAGACACAGATTAAGCCTAGTCCTGGACTAAAAAGCAAGTGCTTCTTAGTTCAGTATTTGTATAGGCTTAATCTATGTCTGGAAAAACGACCCCAAAAGTATTGTAGTTAAAACTTACTGTCCATAGTGTTGTCACTACTGTAGTTGCATCACTGTGACATCACACCTGACAGACAGTCTCACTACTGAAACCCTCCACATTGGAAATAAACAAACAGTTACATACACTCCTAGTTTACACCTGACTAACACCTCAGTACAACTCATGTCATTGAAAACAAATGACAAAACAGGCAAAAGCGTCATATGAAAAACAAACTAAGAATACTTATATAACAACTACAGCTCCATTAACTGATCACATCAAGGATTACATTGAGAGAACTCAAATGGACATGGTCAGTCAGACCCATAGAAATAGAATCATGATAATACAAAAATAATGAATTAGAATCACCATGGTCAGAGGCTCCAGGCCTGTTCTAGTGATTCTATTTCTATGGTCTGACCACTGGGGCTGAACCCCAGCTTTGGATCTTACTGGAGGGCAGTGAAGTCCAGTCCGTAGGGCTGCTCCCAGAAGCCCATCCTCTCTGTGTAGTAGTCCAGGGCCTGACAGGGGACCAGGCAGAGAGTGGCCCCAGAGGGCCACATCATCCCCCCCTCTCTCAGCCAGCGGTCCCGCGCCTGCAACACTGACTCCACCATGAACTCAAACTAGAGGAGAGGAGAGACAGTTATAATTTAAACACCTTAGGCAGAACAGGGTCGTATTCACTAGTAAGCATATGCGCCAAAACAGGGACGGACTACCTGAATTTATCCAATAAGATATGCTTGTTTTCATTTTCCGTTGCAAAATGTTTTGTTATGGTGGAGATCAGGAGATGGGAATCAAGAAGTTTCTCAATCACAGAAGTGTTTATGAAACAATGGTGTTAGTGGATTCAGAGGTTAAAACAATAACTCCTAGTCCTAGCAGCATACAGTTCCCTACCAGCAGACAGTTGCCCATCCACTCTGAGATCAGGATGTCTACTCTGCCTGGTAGCTCCAGCTCCTCAGCCCGACCCTGGAAGACTGTCACTACCTCCTCACAGCCGTTCTGCCTCACCAGGGTCTCAGTGTATTCTGCTATGGAGCTGGCCTCCACTGCATACACCTACAGAACAACACAACACAACACAATACTTAATACACTTACAGGACAGAACAGGAGTTTCATACACCTACAGCACAAAAGTATGGCGTTTGAATGTACATTGTACACTAGATGGAGGTATAGGCATCGTAATATGAACACAAGGCTCAAAATAAAAGTTAACTGCTATCCGGCACTAAACATTAATTTAATAAAATATCTTAGACTTTTATCTGCGACATGAATAGTTACTGATTATAATAATATATATATATAATCTTGATATTCTTACAGCTTTGGGCTGGGCCAGGCGGGCACAGAAGAGGCTGATGACTCCGGTGCCACAGCCCAAATCCATAACCACCTTCCCCCTGAGGGGGGCGCTGTTGGTCAGGATCACCTGGCGGTACGCCTCTGTCCTCGCTCGGTCACTCAGCATCTCCAGTTGAAGCCTCTGGGTCAGCAGAAACAAAGACAACAATATCTGCAAATGTTGCATAGGCTGCCTCCCAAATGGCACCTGCTTCCCTATATAGTGCACTATAGGGAATTAGGGTGCCATTTGGGACACATCTGGGCCCTGGTCAAAAGTAGTGAACTATATATTTAAAAGGATGCCATTTGGGATGCAAACAATATCACTGTGTAGAAATTAATGTATTGTTAACTAGGAAGAGAGAGAGACAAGAAGAAAAACCAGTGTTCCATAGCTGCCAAAGTACTCTTCATCCTGCCAGGGGTCCTCTGAGGTGTCCTCCGCCACACCTTGTTTTAGGTAACTGTCCTCCACACCTTGTTTCAGGTAACTGGATGGAACATAGCCACAGAGGCCTCCTAGCTCCGCCCACCACCAGTCAGCTGACGTCTTAGTGTGGACCAGCATCCTGTCTCCAGCTCTGAAACTCAGCTGGGGTCAGAGGGGGTTAGGGTTAAGGTCAGCTGGGGTCAGAGACAGACATATACACATAGACATAAAGCAGGGGTCAGAGACAGACATACACATACTGTAGACATACAGCAGGGGTCAGAGACAGACATAGACATACAGTATAGACATACATACATGTATGCTAAGACATACAAAATACGATTGTTAATCTTTCTAGGCATACACATCATTGGTTCGGATGTGATGATCAAAGTATGAGGGGACTTCTCAGGCATTCTAGTGTAGTTACAGTGAGGGAAAAAAGTATTTGATCCCCTGCTGATTTTGTACGTTTGCCCACTGACAAAGAAATGATCAGTCTATAATTTTAATGGTAGGTTTATTTGAACAGTGAGAGACAGAATAACAACAACAAAATCCAGAAAAACGCATGTCAAAAATGTTATAAATTGATTTGCATTTTAATGAGGGAAATAAGTACACTGCTCAAAAAAATTAAGGGAACACTAAAATAACACATCCTAAATCTGAATGAATGAAATAATCTTATTAAATACTTTTTTTCTTTACATAGTTGAATGTGCTGACAACAAAATCACACAAAAATTATCAATGGAAATCAAATTGATCAACCCATGGAGGTCTGGATTTGGAGTCCCCCTCAAAATTAAAGTGGAAAACCACACTACAGGCTGATCCAACTTTGATGTAATGTCCTTAAAACAAGTCAAAATGAGGCTCAGTAGTGTGTGTGGGCCTCCACGTGCCTGTATGACCTCCCTACAACACCTGGGCATGCTCCTGATGAGGTGGCGGATGGTCTCCTGAGGGATCTCCTCCCAGACCTGGACTAAAGCATCCGCCAACTCCTGGACAGTCTGTTGTGCAATGTGGCGTTGGTGGATGGAGCGAGACATGATGTCCCAGATGTGCTCAATTGGATTCAGGTCTGGGGAACGGGCGGGCCAGTCCATAGCATCAATGCCTTCCTCTTGCAGGAACTGCTGACACACTCCAGCCACATGAGGTCTAGCATTGTCTTGCATTAGGAGGAACCCAGGGCCAACCGCACCAGCATATGGTCTCACAAGGGGTCTGAGGATCTCATCTCGGTACCTAATGGCAGTCAGGCTACCTCTGGCGAGCACATGGAGGGCTGTGCGGCCCCCCAAAGAAATGCCACCCCACACCATGACTGACCCACCGCCAAACCGGTCATGCTGGAGGATGTTGCAGGCAGCAGAACGTTCTCCACGGCGTCTCCAGACTCTGTCACATGTGCTCAGTGTGAACCTGCTTTCATCTGTGTAGAGCACAGGGCGCCAGTGGCGAATTTGCCAATCTTGGTGTTCTCTGGCAAATGCCAAACGTCCTGCACGGTGTTGGGCTGTAAGCACAACCCCCACCTGTGGACGTCGGGCCCTCATACCACCCTCATGGAGTCTGTTTCTGACCGTTTGAGCAGACACATGCACATTTGTGGCCTGCTGGAGGTAATTTTGCAGGGCTCTGGCAGTGCTCCTCCTGCTCCTCCTTGCACAAAGGCGGAGGTAGCAGTCCTGCTGCTGGGTTGTTGCCCTCCTACGGCCTCCTCCACGTCTCCTGATGTACTGGCCTGTCTCCTGGTAGCGCCTCCATGCTCTGGACACTACGCTGACAGACACAGCAAACCTTCTTGCCACAGCTCGCATTGATGTGCCATCCTGGATGAGCTGCACTACCTGAGCCACTTGTGTGGGTTGTAGACTCCGTCTCAGGCTACCACTAGAGTGAAAGCACCGCCAGCATTCAAAAGTGACCAAAACATCAGCCAGGAAGCATAGGAACTGAGAAGTGGTCTGTGGTCACCACCTGCAAAACCAATCCTTTATTGGGGGTGTCTTGCTAATTGCCTAGAATTTCCACCTGTTGTCTATTCAATTTGCACAACAGCATGTGAAATTTATTGTCAATCAGTGTTGCTTACTAAGTGGACAGTTTGATTTCACAGAAGTGTGATTGACTTGGAGTTACATTGTGTTGTTTAAGTGTTCCCTTTATTTTTTTGAGCAGTGTATTTGACCCCCTCTCAATCAGAAAGATTTCTGGCTCCCAGGTGTCTTTTATACAGGTAACGAGCTGAGATTAGGAGCACATTCTTAAAGGGAGTAATCCTAATCTCAGTTTGTTACCTGTATAAAGGACACCTGTCCACAGAAGCAATCAATCAATCAGATTCCAAACTCTCCACCATGGCCAAGACCAAAGAGCTCTCCAAGGATGTCAGGGACAAGATAGTAGACCTACACAAGGCTGGAATGGGCTACAAGACCATCGCCAAGCAGGTTGTTGAGAAGGTGACAACAGTTGGTGCGATTATTCGCAAATGGAAGAAACACAAAATAACTGTCAATCTCCCTCGGCCTGGGGCTCCATGCAAGATCTCACCTCGTGGAGTTGCAATGATCATGAGAACGGTGAGGAATCAGCCCAGAACTACACGGGAGGATCTTGTCAATGATCTCAAGGCAGCTGGGACCATAGTCACCAAGAAAACAATTGGTAACACACTACGCCGTGAAGGAATGAAATCCTGCAGCGCCCGCAAGGTCCCCCTGCTCAAGAAAGCACATATACATGCCCGTCTGAAGTTTGCCAATGAACATCTGAATTATTCGGAGGAGAACTGGGTGAAAGTGTTGTGGTCAGATGAGACCAAAATGGAGCTCTTTGGCATCAACTCAACTCGCCGTGTTTGGAGGAGGAGGAATGCTGCCTATGACCCCAAGAACACCATCCCCACCGTCAAACATGGAGGTGGAAACATTATGCTTTGGGGGTGTTTTTCTGCTAAGGGGACAGGACAACTTCACCGCATCAAAGGGACGATGGACGGGGCCACGTACCGTCAAATCTTGGGTGAGAACCTCCTTCCCTCAGCCAGGGCATTGAAAATGGGTCATGGATGGGTATTCCAGCATGACAATGACCCAAAACACACGGCCAAGGCAACAAAGGAGTGGCTCAAGAAGAAGCACATTAAGGTCCTGGAGTGGCCTAGCCAGTCTCCAGACCTTATTCCCATAGAAAATCTGTGGAGGGAGCTGAAGGTTCGAGTTGCCAAACGTCAGCCTCGAAACCTTAATGACTTGGAGAAGATCTGCAAAGAGGAGTGGGACAGAATCCCTCCTGAGATGTGTGCAAACCTGGTGGCCAACTACAAGAAACGTCTGACCTCTGTGATTGCCAACAAGGGTTTTGCCACCAAGTACTAAGTCATGTTTTGCAGAGGGGTCAAATAATTATTTCCCTCATTAAAATGCAAATCAATTTATAACATTTTTTACATGCGTTTTTCTGGATTTTGTTGTTGTTATTGGTGTGGGGTGGCATTTCTTTGGGGGGCCGCACAGCCCTCCATGTGCTCGCCAGAGGTAGCCTGACTGCCATTAGGTACCGAGATGAGATCCTCAGACCCCTTGTGAGACCATATGCTGGTGCGGTTGGCCCTGGGTTCCTCCTAATGCAAGACAATGCTAGACCTCATGTGGCTGGAGTGTGTCAGCAGTTCCTGCAAGAGGAAGGCATTGATGCTATGGACTGGCCCGCCCGTTCCCCAGACCTGAATCCAATTGAGCACATCTGGGACATCATGTCTCGCTCCATCCACCAACGCCACATTGCACCACAGACTGTCCAGGAGTTGGCGGATGCTTTAGTCCAGGTCTGGGAGGAGATCCCTCAGGAGACCATCCGCCACCTCATCAGGAGCATGCCCAGGTGTTGTAGGGAGGTCATACAGGCACGTGGAGGCCACACACACTACTGAGCCTCATTTTGACTTGTTTTAAGGACATTACATCAAAGTTGGATCAGCCTGTAGTGTGGTTTTCCACTTTAATTTTGAGGGGGACTCCAAATCCAGACCTCCATGGGTTGATAAATTTGATTTCCATTGATAATTTTTGTGTGATTTTGTTGTCAGCACATTCAACTATGTAAAGAAAAAAAGTATTTAATAAGATTATTTCATTCATTCAGATCTAGGATGTGTTATTTTAGTGTTCCCTTTATTTTTTTGAGCAGTGTACTTATTTCCCTCATTAAAATGCAAATCAATTTATAACATTTTTGAGATGCGTTTTTCTGGATTTTGTTGTTGTTATTCTGTCTCTCACTGTTCAAATAAACCTACCATTAAAATGATAGACTGATCATGTCTTTGTCAGTGGGCAAACGTACAAAATCAGCAGGGGATCAAATACTTTTTTCCCTCACTCTAGTATGGTCATTTAAAGCCACACCCTTAAAGAGTGGACCACCTACAAAAATTTTAACAATGGAGCAAATGCATCCCAATTATACTGGACAAAAATATAAACGCTAAATGCAACAATTCCAAAGATTTTACTGAGTCACAGTTCATATAAGGAAATCAGTCAATTGAAATGAATTAATTAGGCCCTAATCTATGGATTTCACATGATTGGGCAGGGGCGCAGCCATGGGTAGGCCTTGGAGGGCATAGGCAGGCCTTGGAGGGCATAGGCCCACCCACTGGGGAGCCAGGCCCAGCCAATCAGAATAGGTTTTTCCCCATAAAAGGGCTTTATTACAGAAATACTCCTCAGTTTCATCAGCTGTCCGGGTGGCTGGTCTCAGATGATCCCACAGGTGAAGAAGCCGGATGTGGAGGTCCGCGGCTGGCATGGTTACATGTGGTCTGCGGTTGTGAGTCCGGTTGGACGTACTGTCAAATTCTCTAAAACGACGTTGGAGGCGGCTTATGGTAGAGAAATGAACATTCAATGCTCTGGCAACAGCTCTGGTGGACATTCCTGCAGTCAGCATGCCAATTGCACGCTCCCTCAAAACTTGAGGCATCTGTGGCATTGTGTTGTGTGACAAAATTGCACATTTTAGAGTGTCCTTTTTTGCCCCCAGCACAAGGTGCAACTGTGTAATGAACATGCTGTTTCATCAGCTTCTTGATAAGCCACACCTGTCAGGTGGATGGATTATCTTGGCAAAAGAGAAATGTTCACTAACAGGAATGTAAACAAATTTGTGCACAAAATTGGAGAAAAATAAGCTTTTTGTGCATATGGAACATTTCTGGGATCTTTTATTTCAGCTCATGAAACATGGGACCAACACTTTACATGTTGCATTTATATTTTTCTTCAGTATACATTGTAACATGCCTACTTGATTTCTATGATACATCTAGTTCTCACGGAATGACTTTCCATGAGAGCAAGATCATTTTTTTGTTTCTTAGTTTTTTATTTTCTACAGGATGTGTTTTAAAGTTATAACTGCTCTACTACTCTACTTTATAACATTCGATAATAAAGTTTATCTCCAGACAGTCACCCACCTGGTAGCTGCCGCAGCTCGTGAAATCAGACAGTCCTATAAACTCCTCTGGTGGATTGGTGTCATCTTCATCCTCCTGATGCATCCTGATCGAATCATCAACTTTCTAAAACAATCAAAACTTCAGGCTGGAGGTTGTTTCCACAAACTTATATAATAACTTAATGACTGACTATAGCTAAGTTCGTTTGCTAACCGTTAGCAAGTCTCGTGCAGACATATATTGGTACTGCGATCTAAAGGTAATAAAAAGCAGTATGATATTTCACCTTTTTATGTTAAGTTACTGTAGCCTACCACTCGACGAACAGCCAGCTGTGTTTATTTCCGGGTTCAGGCTTTCATGTAATGTACTTCTCTAATTGGCTACGTTCATGTGTTCGTTAGAAATAGGGGCGGGACCTACCTGAATTTGTCCAATCGTTTTGCTCCGATTGCTTCCGTGGAATATTTTCCAGTACACGGCACACTGACGTCACGCACAGATGCGCGCGACTCTTGGCGGCAGGAAGAAAGCCATCGCCACCTGCATCCATTCAACATAGCCTAGATTTACGTTTTTATTACTTCTAAAGTAAATCATTTTAGTGGGGGTTCTCATACGCTTACAATGATGTTTTGATTCTTGCTTGAACAGTCACTAAGATTATATCTGGTTGTGATCTTTTCAAAATAACTATTTTGGATGCAGCAGTTGTTAGCTAGAATGCTAACGCTCATTGATATATAGGCTGTAGCAAAAGCTAGCCAAATAGCCATTTTACTGGTTGAAGTTTAAGTGTTTTTAAGTATAATGCAGTTGATTTGTGATGATGACACAAACATTATATAAAGCAGGAAATTAATACAAGCCTTAAAATTAAATTAGAATCCAAAAGTACTCTAGTGTGGCGCAGCGGTCTAAGGCACTGCATTGCAGTGTTTGAGGCGTCACTACAGCCCCGGGTTTGATCCCAGGCTGTGTCACAGCCGGCCGTGACTGGGAGACCCATGAGGTGGCGCACAATTGGCCGGCTGGAATTTCCTTGTCCCATCGTGCGCTAACGACTCCATGTGGTGGGCTGGGCGCCTGCAAGCTGACTTCGGTCGCCAGCTGGACGGTGTTTCCTCCGACACATTGGTGCGGCTGGCTTCCGGTTTAAGCAAGCAGTGTGTCAAGAAGCAGGGCGGCTTGGCAGGGTCGTGTTTCGGAGGACGCATGGCTCTCGACCTTCGCCTCTCCCGAGTCCATAGGTGAGTTGCAGCGATGGGACAAGTCTGTAACTACCAATTGGATATCACGAAAAAGGGGTAAAAAAGATTCCAAAAGTAGTGTGAAATGCACTCATAAGCAACATGTAAATAGAGGTTTTTTCCCCCTGGCGTTCTATAAGAACTCCCCTTTGTTCTGCCACCAACTTGAGCGCATCGCCCTCGTGCGGCAATGTTTGCAAATACAGAAACGGGTCTTTGGTTCTTAAATGGTAAAATGTTTCTGTAATGAATAAGGGTCCCAGTACGTTTCGTTATTTTGATTTCCGAGTCAAAACGGAGAGTGGAAAATCTGAAATCGATTTGTTTTCTCATTTATTGTGTCAAGACTTGACATGGAATAACAGAAAACAATTAACATCAAAATGTATACAATTTTTGAATTTCGTTTTTCGTTTTGTTCATACCCGGAAGTACACGCCCCCTCATAGAATATGCACAGGGCTTAGGGGGTGTATTTACAGCCTAGGTTGGCAGCACAAAGAAAGGATTAGGCTGTGTGAGTGTGACAGGAAGATACAAATAAGAATGTTAGCTAAGATGCAGAACAACAACTGAACAAAGTTGGCTTGCACTAGCTGGCTAACTAGCACTAGCTGGCTACTGACTACCTAGCAGGCCAGAGCTACCTGCTGCAGAATGGTCAGATTTCTCCATTACTTTCTGTAGCTAACTTAGCTATACTGAACAAAAATATAAATGCAACATGTTGGTCCCATGTTTTTATGCATGCTCGTCGTCCTCACCAGAGTTGTAACCGACTTCAGTGGGCAAATGCTCACCTTCGATGGCCACTGGCACGCTGGAGAAGTGTGCTTTTCACGGATGAATCCCAGTTTCAACTGTACCCGGCAGATGCCAGACAGCGTGTATGCTGTCGTGTGGGCGAGCGGTTTGCTGATGTCAACGTTGTGAACTGAGTGCCCCATGGTGGCGGTGGGGTTATGGTATGGGCAGGCATAAGCTACGGACAACGAATACATTTGCATTTTATTGATGGCATTTTGAATGCAAAGAGATACAGTGGAGAGATCGTGAGGCTCATTGTCGTGCCATTCATCCGCCGCCATCACCTCATGTTTCAGCATGATAATACACGGACCCATGTCGCAAGGATCTGTACACTAAAAATGTCCCAGTTCTTCCATGGCCTGCATACTCACCAGACATGTCACCCATTGAGCATGTTTGGGATGCTATCGATTGACGTGTACGACAGCGTGTTCCGTCAATTTCCAGCAACTTCATACAGCTGTCATGACTCTCCCAAGATAATGGCTGACAACAACCAGACCCTCTTATCCACAGGGGGTGGGGCTGTGCCGGTCTTGACACCTTAATACTGCCATAAATTAGAGATAGGAGAATCTATCTCTGGCCCTGTAGTATGGTGAAAGGAATGTCCTTTGTTTCAGAGACTTTTGCCGCCCAAAACTTCAACATCCAACAATGAACATTGAGACAATATATTTCATCATCTAAATGTTGGGAATGATGAGAAATGGAATATGAAAAATTAATGTCTATTTTTTATGTCATTAAAAATTGTATAAAGGTGTTATAACGAAAACATTGTGACTTGAAGAGCTTTTACACTGTGTATATCAGGTTTACATCCTTTACCTTGTGTAGAAAATATCAAGGAGGAAGACAATGTTTCATGAAAATAGGAATGTGATTTTAGCTTTCTAACAAAATCATAGTGATAATAATACTTTTGCCTCGTAACTAGCCACGCCCGAGGGAGCTCAGAGAGCGTGTCAGTATGACAGAAACGCCCCTCTTTACCAGAGTGCATAAAAGACTGAGATAAGAATGATCAGATCAGACGGACCTCAAGCTGCAGCTTTTGTCCATATTGGTCCCGACCCTGAAAATCAACACGAGCTGAAGACACAAAGTTGCCTCCACTAACAATCAATGTTACGGCTGAGTAGCTGTTGTAAGTACTGTATTTAAGAAGGTGAATTTAAGTGGGACCATCCTGTTACTCTCTTCAAACCATCGTCTACTACACTGCTCTCATCACCCCATAGGGGATCATCGACACGGCTGATTAGCCGTCCTCAGAAGACCACTTCCAGAACGAGTGAAAGTAAACAGACGACTAAGAAGGACATTGTGACCTCTTGTGGACAATCTGAACCTTACATCTGAACCTTACATCTAAAAGGCCATCCGAAAAGAGAAGGCCCAATCGACCCTTCCCACGAAGGCCTGGGTCCAACAGAGACAACGAAGACAAACACGTAAATACATGCATTACTTCTTACCAAATGGGCAGCAGTTCTTGGCAAATTATTAGGATTACTATGAGTATACAGTGGGGGAAAAAAAGTATTTAGTCAGCCACCAATTGTGCAAGTTCTCCCACTTAAAAAGATGAGAGAGGCCTGTAATTTTCATCATAGGTACAAGTCAACTATGACAGAGAAAATGAGAAAAAAAAATCCAGAAAATCACATTGTAGGATTTTTTATGAATTTATTGGCATATGATGGTGGAAAATAAGTATTTGGTCAATAACAAAAGTTTCTCAATACTTTGTTATATACCCTTTGTTGGCAATGACACAGGTCAAACGTTTTCTGTAAGTCTTCACAAGGTTTTCACACACTGTTGCTGGTATTTTGGCCCATTCCTCCATGCAGATCTCCTCTAGAGCAGTGATGTTTTGGGGCTGTCGCTGGGCAACACAGACTTTCAACTCCCTCCAAAGATTTTCTATGGGGTTGAGATCTGGAGACTGGCTAGGCCACTCCAGGACCTTGAAATGCTTCTTACGAAGCCACTCCTTCGTTGCCCGGGCGGTGTGTTTGGGATCATTGTCATGCTGAAAGACCCAGCCACGTTTCATCTTCAATGTCCTTGCTGATGGAAGGAGGATTTCACTCAAAATCTCACGATACATGGCCCCATTCATTCTTTCCTTTACACGGATTAGTCGTCCTGGTCCCTTTGCAGAAAAACAGCCCCAAAGCATGATGTTTCCAACCCCATGCTTCACAGTAGGTATGGTGTTCTTTGGATGCAACTCAGCATTATTTGTCCTCCAAACATGACGAGTTGAGTTTTTACCAAAAAGTTATATTTTGGTTTCATCTGACCGTATGACATTCTCCCAATCCTCTTCTGGATCATCCAAATGCACTTCAGACGGGCCTGGACATGTACTGGCTTAAGCAGGGGGACACGTCTCGCACTGCAGGATTTGAGTCCCTGGCGGCGTAGTGTGTTACTGATGGTAGGCTTTGTTACTTTGGTCCCAGCTCTCTGCAGGTCATTCACTAGGTCCCCCCGTGTGGTTCTGGGATTTTTGCTCACCGTTCTTGTGATCATTTTGACCCCACGGGGTGAGATCTTGCGTGGAGCCCCAGATCGAGGGAGATTATCAGTGGTCTTGTATGTCTTCCATTTCCTAATAATTGCTCCCACAGTTGATTTCTTCAAACCAAGCTGCTTACCTATTGCAGATTCAGTCTTCCCAGCCTGGTGCAGGTCTACAATTTTGTTTTTGGTGTCCTTTGACAGCTCTTTGGTCTTGGCCATTGTGGAGTTTGGAGTGTGACTGTTTGAGGTTGTGGACAGGTGTCTTTTATACTGATAACAAGTTCAAACAGGTGCCATTAATACAGGTAACGAGTGGAGGACAGAGGAGCCTCTTAAAGAAGAAGTTACATGTCTGTGAGAGCCAGAAACTTGCTTGTTTGTAGGTGATCAAATACTTATTTTCCACCATAATTTGCAAATAAATTCATTAAAAATCCTACAATGGGATTTTCTGGAATTTTTTTTCTCAATTTGTCTGTCATGGTCCATGTGTATCCAATTGTTTTCTCTCGCTCTCTCTCTCTCTTTAAATCGCCATCTTTTGTAACAAGTGTCATATTGTGTGTAGTCCGCTAGGGACCCGTTTTCATTGCATTAAGTTTCTAATCCCTACCTATACCGTGTATGTGTTTGTATCTTGTGTTATCATTTTTAATTAGTTAGTAAATAAATAATTAAATCAATTTGTGTGGTACGGAATGATCAGTAAGACCTGGGTTTGTGCAGACTTAAAGAGCCTACGACTTTCAGAACGAGACTGATATGAGGTAAATGATTAATAAATGACTGTTAAATGATAAGAGATATCTAGATATCTTTAGAGTTCATTCGGGAAACGGTAACTCGTTAAACAACTTTTCCCGTGGTGCCCCACATTCCTAATGAGTTAATTGTTACATGATTAATTTAATCTAGTAACAATTAAACATAGTAGGTAATTATTCGATAAATAATAGTAATCACAATAATGAAAGGCACGTCACGACACAGCCATTGAAGAGGAGTGGGACAACATTCCACAGGCCACAATCAACAGCCTGATCAACTCTATGCGAAGGAAATGTGTCAAGGAAATGTGTCGCGCTGCATGAGGCAAATGGTGGTCACAACAGATACTGACTGGTTTTCTGATCCAACAGATGCATATCTGTATTCCCAGTCATGTGCAATCCATAGATTAGGGCCTAATTAATTGATTTATATTGACTGATTTCCTTATATGAACTGTAACTCAGTAAAATCTTTCAAATTGTTGCGTTTATATTTTTGTTCAGTGTTGATCTGTCGGCTAATGGTGTTTATTGACTGAGTAATAATGAACAGCAGTTACTGTAAATGGTTACCTATCTGTCACTTTGCATAGCTAACTAAGCTATTGGTTACACATACAACAATATCCAATTAAGCTATAGTCCGTGCTGATGTTTGTGTGTGTGCATGTGTGTGTGAGTTCTGAATGTTCCTGCAGGAGAAAAGCACAGTACGGCATTTCAGCGGATTGTCATGAACTTCATGTAGTTACATCAGCGAATACAGTAAGTTAAAATAAGCCTTTTCATTGGTATGGGTATACTTCACCAACATCCTGCTCACTGAAAGGCAGACATAGGCTATACTCTTCAGTTGTGAACACGACTATTGCTGCGACAGTTGGCCTACTTCTCTGAATGTATACAAGTAAAAGATCTTAATTTTATCACCCTGTTGTTGCAGGATATTTGAGGTTTAAAAAGGCTTCAAAAGTTTGTAATTTCCACTTTAAAATGTCAGACTTGATATGCCCTAACAAAGAATGTATCAACCCTTACAAAAAATATTAATTAAATATAATCCATACAATAATTCAAATGTCCTGTTGCTGCAGGATTATTTTCCTGCTGTGAGAAAATTATCAAATTAAAATCCAGTTAAGAGCTTGTTACTGTCGAAAAATGCCTTTCAAAGACTAAGACAAATTCTCTCTGGTCACTATATTGGTTGTGTTAACAGGATCTTGAATTGTATAAAATATATACTTTGGTTTCCAAAGTTTGACTTTCTTTATTTTTATAGAGTTTAATCTTTGTTGGTTAGCATCTCTACAAAAAAATGTGGGTGTGCGTCAGCTCATGCTTTTTACTAAACAGGATCTTGAATTAGCATCACACATGCTTAACTAGACAGGCCAACAGTTCTGGAGTCACACCAAAGGCACAGTGGCTGACTGTGGAATACACAGGAGGCTGCTGAGGGGAGGATGCCTCATAATAATGGCTGTAATGGAGCGAATGAAATGGCTTCAAACACATGGAAACCATGTATTTAGTGTATTTGATACCATTCCACTCATACCGCTCCAGCCGTTACCACCAGTTAAGGTGCCACCAACCCCCTGTGGTGGAATGAGACTGTCTTGCTGGTGGCATGCATCAGGCCTTATTGACAACAGATGCATGAAGTTACTTTGACATTATCCTGAGATATCAAATCAAACCAACATCAAAATGGCAAATCTCTGTCAGGCATTCCTTTCCTTCAACCTACAGTAGCCTATTCACTCCCTGATATACACAGGGCCTAGAGGGGGCAGTATAGTTACCCTGGACTCTAGCGCCTGATGGCTTGGGCTGGGATTCAATCCATGGCGCATTGTAGCGCGCTTGACATTTGAAGGTACTTTCTGATTGAGCCGACATCTGCAGCGTTTACCGTGAATGCGATCTCAGCAAAACGCAGGACCTTGCCTTTACAAGGCACATTATTGCCGACAGCGCTCTACAATGAGCCTCAGATTGAATCCCGGTTTAGGCCACAGGAAGGACATTCACTCACTCTTCCTCTTCATAGTCCTCTTCGTTCCACAGCACTTGTGGAAGCAGACTTTGCAGCATTTAATGGTGACCATGACAACAATGAGAACTATAGTGAGTAGCAGAGTGAACACATCCAGACTGTGGTACTGGATCCAGTTGAGGTCGTGAGCGGCGGGTCTCAGGTGTTCTGCTCCGCTGTGGCGCATCACAAACTCCACCCAGAACACAGCCAGGTCCAGGGGCTCGATGGGACGGTCCTTATGCACCGCTGACAGCTTCAGCATCTTCTCCTTGTAACTGGGGAGGAAGGACAGATGCAACAGTGTTTACAATCTCCTCATAGCCAACTCATGACTGCTAATACAGTATAAGTCAAGGAAGCAGTATGTCACACTACACAGTGCAATATTCACCTGGGGCTGAATTCTAATGAGGAACTCAGACTTTCATGTAAATCATGCATTTTTGACAATATTATATTTGCACTGAAACTCAATATGTGCATGTAGATCTCAAGTTAGGATTTGGTCCCTGTACTGTTTGCACTGCTATATTTTTATCATATTTGTACTGTTTATTTGAGCTTGTGTCCTAAAAAGTGTCTACACCTCAGCAATTTATAACTATTTATACCAAAAAGGTGAGATTTTAACCTATCTTCCAGTATGCAGCATTACTAGTTATTGTTTATTACTTTCGGGGATTACGTATATTCTATTTTAAATTACATGTAGTTACATTTAAGAGGTTAATGTTTTGTATATTCAGTGTATAACATGTCCTTGTAACATCATTATACTGAACAAAAATATAAACGCAACATGTTCCATATGCACAAAAAGCTTATTTCTCTCAAAATGTGTGCACAAATTTGTTTACATCCCTGTTAGTGAACATTTCTCCTTTGGCAAGATAATCCATCCACCTGACAGGTGTGGCATATCAAGAAGCTGATTAAACCGCATGATCATTACACAGGTGCACCTTGTGCTGGGGACAATAAAAGGCACTCTAAAATGTGCAGTTTTGTCACACAGATGTCTCAAGTTTTGAGGGAGCGTGAATTGGCATGCTGACTGCAGGAATGTCCACCAGAGCTGTTGCAATATAATTTAATGTTCATTTCTCTACCATACGCCGCCTCCAACGTTATTTTAGAGAATTTGGCAGTACGTCCAACTGGCCTCACAACCGCAGACCATGTGTATGGTGTTGTGTGGGTGAGCGGTTTGCTGATGTCAATGTTGTGAACAGAGTGCCCCATGGTGGCGGTGGGGTTATGCTATGGGCAGGCATAACCTATGGGCAACGAACACAATTGCATTTTATCGATTGGCAATTTGAATGCACAAAAATACAGTGACGAGGTCCTGAGGCCCATTGTGAGGCCCATTGTTTTTAAAGGTAACTGTGACCAGCAGATGCATATCTGTATTCCCAGTCATGTGAAATCCATAGATTAGGGCCTCATTTATTTATTTCAATTGACTGATTTCCTCATATGAACTGTAACTCAGTAAAATCTTTGAAATTGTTGCTTTTATATTTTTGTTCAGTATACTTCCTTGTATTACATTAGCATGATGTCTGACCTCTTGTCGTTGATGACCTTGTTGAGGGCCTCCACCAGTTTGTCTGAGGTGACATCGAACATATTGAGCACCTCCCCGACACCCCTCACTGCCATGCGGTGTATGTTGTCACCCTGGTCACCGAACAACGGCAGCATCACCATGGGAACACTGTTACAGATCCCCTCGTAGAGACCGTGGGTTCCTCCGTGGGTGATGAAGGCCTTGACTTTGGGGTGGCCTAGAACATTGAACATAGAACATAGAACATTCACCATGAAGAAGAAGAAGATGCATTGTTTCACTTGCACAATGGCAGCAACAGTAGCATGTTGTGTTTACTGAGAAGAGTACCCCTCTGTAACTTCTGTAACCCAGGTGATTTTAATTAGAACTATATCATTGTAACATTATCTCTGATGATGAGAGACTAAACCAACCCAGCAGATCATTCTGAGGAAGCCACTTCATCAATCTGACGTTGTCTGGAGCATTCTCAGGCACCACTCCTGTGTACCGCCACACCACCTGAAACACAGAGAATAACAGCTTACTTAGCTAATCAAGTCATATAGAATCATCTGTCAATTCTGGATATAGTGGTGAAGGTACACCAGTTTGTAGTGGGATATAAATGTGTGTCTGGAGAGTTTTAAGGCATAGCTCCAGTGTATCTCCACACAAACTGAACAACATAGAACAGCAGTTTGCCATAACCCTTGATGTAGTATATGAAGAATGGAGAATATGCAAATGCCATTGAAACTCCATGTAATTACAGCATTCCTCAGAGTTAAGTACAAACAGGGGACAAAGGACTTGTTCTAGATTAGATTAATGGTGGATTGGAGATTAGGCCTATATGCAGGGTTGGGTAGGTTACTTTCTAAATGTAATCCATTACAGTTACTAGTTACCTGTCCAAAATTGTAATCAGTAATGTAACCTTTAGATTACCCAAACTCAGTAACGTAATCTAATTACTTTCAGTTACTTTTAGATTACTTTCCCTTAAGAGGCATTAGAAGACAAAAATGAATATTACCAATTGAATGACATCTATTGCAGGATAAATCAAATCAAATGTTATTTGCCACATGCGCCGAATACAACAGGTGTAGACCTTACAGTGAAATGCTTACTTATAAGCCCTTAACCAACAATGCAGTTTTAAGAAAAATAAGTGTTAAGTAACAAATAGATAACTAAAAAATAAAAATAAAAAATAATTAAAGAGCAGCAGTAAAATAAACTAACAGTAGGGAGGCTATATACAGGGGGTACCGGTACAGAGTCAATGTGCGGGGGCACAGGTTAGTCGAGGTAATATGTACATGTGGGTAGAGTTAAAGTGCCTATGCATAGATAATAAACAGAGAGTAGCAGCAGCATAAAAGAGGGGGTGGGGTGGGGTGGGGGGGACAATGCAAATAGTCCGGGTAGCCATGATTAGCTGTTCAGGAGTCTTATGGCTTGGGGGTAGAAGCTGTTAAGAAGCCTTTTGGACCTAGTCTTGGCGCTCCAGTACCGCTTGCCGTGCGGTAGCAGAGAGAACAGTCTATGACTAGGGTGGCTGGAGTCTTATTGTTAGGGCCTTCCTCTTACCCCGCCTGTTAGAGTTTACATAGATGGCCATAAATGGATCTTGCATTGTACTTTATGGGTTGGTTATGTAGGCTTCTTCTAACCCATTGTTTTCTACTACAGATAATTATATGATTAGGCTATATTTGATTTTGTTTTATTAGGATTTTCATTAGCCGACGCCAATGGCGACAGCTAGTCTTACTGGGGTCCGACACACAACGAAAAAGACATTACAGACAAAATACTTTACAATTTACATATATTTAAAAACATGAACATGTAGTGTGCGTGTGTGCATCTATCAGTTATCACAGTACATACACACAACAAGTAGGTAATATGGGGGAGAGGCGTTGTGCCGTGAGGTGTTGCTTTATTTGTTTTTTGAAACCAGGTTTGCTGTTCATATGACATGGAAGGGAGTTCCATGCAATCATGGCTCTGTATAATACTGTATGTTTCCATGAATTTGTTCTGGACCTGGGGACTGTGTAAAGACCCAGTGCTGTATGTAAGTTGACTATGCAAACAAGTTGGAATTAATGTGACACAGTCAGTCTTTCCTCAACTCGTAGCCAAGAGAAACTGGCATGTATAGTATTGATATTAGCCCTTTGATTACAATGAAGAGCAAAACGTGCCGCTCTGTTCTGGGCCAACTGCAGCTTAACTAGGTCCTTTGCGGCACTTGACCACACGACTGGACAATAATCAAGATAAGATAAAACTAGAGCCTGCAGGACTTGCTTTGTGGAGTGTGGTGTCAAAAAAGCAGAGCATCTCTTTATCACGGACAGACTTACAGCCATTCAATATTTTTTGACCATGACAGTTTAGAATCTACGGTAACACCAAGTAATTTAGTCTTCTCAACTTGTACCAAATACAATGGTCTTAGTTTTAGAGATGTTCAGGACCAGTTTAGTACTGGCCACCCATTCTAAAACTGACTGCAACTCTTTGTTTAGGGTTGCGTATAGGGTTGAATCATCAGCATACATGGAAACACAGGCAGAAATATAACAGTACAGCTCCCACAATCTTCTTATTGTCAATTTATTTCAACCAATTATCGGTCAATTGTGTCAGTGCAGTATATGTTGAGTGCCCTTCTCTATAAGTATGCTGAAAGTCTGTTGTTAATTTGTTTATGGATAAATAGCATTGTATTTGTATGACTTTGGCTTCCCTCCAGGCCTGAGGACAAACACTTTCTTTACATTAAAAACCAAAGTCTGTCAGATTTCCAATCATTCCAATTAATTTAATACCCCTTGATCTTCAAGAATCGGAATTGGAAATATAGATTAGCCAAATTGTTTTACTTAAGCATAACCCAAAAACTAAGGACTTATTAGCCTACTTTGATGTTTATGCTGCTCTCATGGAATGGCATGCTTGAGCACTACACTCTTAGAAAAAGGGTTCCAAAAGGGTTCTTCGGCTGTCCCCATAGGAAACTCTTTTTGGTTCCAGGTAGAACCCTTTTTGGGTTCCATATAGAACCCTCTGTGGAAAGGGTTCTACATTGAACCCAAAAGGGTTCTACCTGGAACCAAAAAGGGTTCTTCAAAGGGTTCTCCTATGAGGACAGCTGAAGAACCCTTTTAGGTTCTAGATAGCACCTTTTTTTTCTAAGAGTGTACCAAAAAGTGCTAATGCCATATGCTGCATTTACTATTGGCCTATTGTTTACGTTTTTGTTGGTGACACTTTGATATCTTGATAAGCTGTTTAAGTCTAGCAAAAGTGTGCGAGTTTGAGCATGTGTCCAGCCTATGGAAAACATTTTTTAAATCAGCACTAATGAGATTGAGCAACAAAAGCCCCACTCGTGGTCTTCTTAAATTAAACTTGTTTTTGACAGTATGGAGGACAATACCACTGAGGGGTTTAGAAGGGAGGAACTCCCTCAAACTTTTATTCCATAGGCTGGGATCTGTCCTATGCAGCTGTTGCAAGAGCACATTATTCACTGGCTGTCCACAGGTCGCAAAAACAATGATAGGCAGCTTAAAATAATAGAAAAGTAATCATAGAAGTAATCATCTAGTTTTTCGAAAGTATCTGTAATCTGATTATAATTTTTTTGCTGGTAACGTAACAGATTACAGTTACATGTTTTTGTAATCTGTTACATGTAACGGATTACATGTAATCTGTTACTCCCCAACCCTGCCTATATGCTTAACACGCATAGTGCTGTGCTACTACAAACTGACATCTCAACTAAGATAACATATGGAATTGTTTTAAGATGGTCATACCATGGATCATTTAGTTATTTGATTTTGAATTTTAGGACCCCTTTAGGTATTACAAAAATATATAAAAAATGTATTTGATAAAATATTGAATTTGGCCTTTACTACTATAGCCCATAGAAACGCATTGAATAACACATTCATAAATGGCAAAAAAGACAGTAAAAAAAGAAATCATAAGGAATAAGGTTTTGAAGTGTCTGTGCTATATCTAGGAGATGTCAGAAAGCTCACGAAATAATTGTGTGTTTTTTTAACACATATTTAACCCCTTATTTCTGTTGGCACAAAACTACCTCCATACTTCCATTCATTTGTATAGGTTATCTTCAGACAAGTCCTGTAACACTTGTGGGGTCCCGTGACACATAATAGTTTCTAGGACAAACCGTTCGGACGCTACAGACTTTTTCACGAGAAGGCAGATTTTCGGGATGTCTCATGGTCTGACAAACACTGCTGTAGCTCGGCCACCTTCCACGCAGATACGGAAGGCCGACATAGACGGATGCGGTGGCTTGAGGCGCAGCCCATGCAAAAAAATGGATAACTCTAGCTTAAACTGACTGATTTTTATGGGGATTTTTTTATTATGTTACTTAGATTGACGCACGGGTCAATCTAACTCTTAGAAAATAGACTCTTAGAAAATATGTTGTCAGTTGTTGATGTCTATAGAAGACGTAGAGACTGTATACTTAAAGATTGTGTTGGTCAGAAAGGGTTAACTGTGGGAAACATGATGTAATAGACAGATGAGGGTTTGCGTTCCAAATGACACCTTATTCCCTATATAGTGCACTACTTTTGACCAGCTGTGGTCAAAAATAGTGCAATATATGGAATAGGGTTGCCATTTGGGACGTGTTCGAGGTGTCCTTACCCTCTGAGGGATCCTGCTGAAGGCATCAAAGAACTGCTTGGCTTTCTCCTCCGGCATCTGAGAGACCATAGAGCCCAGGGTAAAGACCACGAAGCCATCCTCTCCTGACTCATCCACAAACTCCTGCAGGTCCTGTTGAGGTACGGGGGAAGGGTTAGTTAACAAAAACTTTTTACATTTATACTGAACAAAAATATAAATGCAACATGCAACAATTTCAACGATTTTATAAGGAAATCAGTCAATTGAAATAAATTCATTAGGCTCTAATCTATGGATTTCACATTACTGGGCAGGGGCGCAGCCATGGGTGGGCCTGGGAGCATGGGTGGGCCTGGGAGGGCATAGGCCCACCCACTTGAGAGCTAGGCCCAGCCAATCAGAATGAGTTTTTCCCCACAAAAGGGCTTTATTACAGACAGAAATTCTCCTAAATTTCATCAGCTGTCCGGGTGGCTGGTCTCAGATGATCCCGCAGGTGAAGAAGCCGGTTGTGGAGGTCCTGGGCTGGCAGAAAACCGCTCAACCACACAACACCATACACATGGTCTGCGGTTGTGAGGCCAGTTCGATGTATTGCCAAATTCTCTAAAACAACGTTGGAGGCGGCTTATGGTAGAGAAATTAACATTTAATTATCTTGCAACAGCTCTGGTGGACATTCCTGCAGACAGCATGCCAATTGCACGCTCCGTCAAAACTTGAGACATCTGTGGCATTGTGCTGTGTGACAAAACTGCACATTTTAGAGTGACCTTTTATTGTCCCCAGCACAAGGTGCACTTGTGTAATGATTATGCTGTTTAATCATCTTCTTGATATGCCACACTTGTCAGGTGGATGGATTATCTTGGCAAATGAGAAATGCTCACTAACAGGGATGTAAACAAATTTGTGCACAACATTTGAGAGAACATTTTTATTTCTTTGCGTATAGAACATTTCTGGGATCTTTTATTTTAGCTCATGAAACATGGGATCAACACTTTACACGTTGCGTTTATATTTTTGTTCAGTATACATTTTAGTCATCTAGTATACGCTCTTATCCAGAGTGACTTACAGTCAGTGCATTCAACTTAGTTTAGTAGGAAAAAAACAACCATATATCACAGTTATTGCAAGTAGACCCTTCTCTGAAATATCCGCAGAACCACACACACGATGAACCAAACACACAATGAATTGTGGTCTTTCACTATGCAATGGAATTGTATGTACAGTGAGGGAAAAAAGTATTTGATCCCCTGCTGATTTTATACGTTTGCCCACTGACAAAGACATGATCAGTCTATAATTTTAATGGTAGGTTTATTTGAACAGTGAGAGACAGAATAACAACAAAAACATCCAGAAAACGCATGTCAAAAATGTTATATATTGATTTGCATTTTAATAAGGGAAATAAGTATTTGACCCTTCTGCAAAACATGACTTAGTACTTGGTGGCAAAACCCTTGTTGGCAATCACAGAGGTCAGACGTTTCTTGTAGTTGGCCACCAGGTTTGCACACATCTCAGGAGGGATTCTGTCCCACTCCTCTTTGCAGATCTTCTCCAAGTCATTAAGGTTTCGAGGCTGATGTTTGGCAACTCGAACCTTCAGCTCCCTCCACAGATTTTCTATGGGATTAAGGTCTGGAGACTAGCTAGGCCACTCCAGGACCTTAATGTGCTTCTTCTTGAGCCACTCCTTTGTTGCCTTGGCCATGTGTTTTGGGTCATTGTCATGCTGGAATACCCATCCACAACCCATTTTCAATGCCCTGGCTGAGGGAAGGAAGTTCTCACCCAAGATTTGCCGGTACATGGCCCCGTCCATCGTCCCTTTGATGCGGTGAAGTTGTCCTGTCCCCTTAGCAGAAAAACACCCCCAAGGCATAATGTTTCCACCTCCATGTTTGACGGTGGGGATGGTGTTCTTGGGGTCATAGGCAGCATTCCTCCTCCTCCAAACATGGCGAGTTGAGTTGATGCCAAAAAGCTCCATTTTGGTCTCATCTGACCACAACACTTTCACCCAGTTCTCCTCTGAATCATTCAGATGTTCATTGGCAAACTTCAGATGGGCCTGTATATGTGCTTTCTTGAGCAGGGGGACCTTGCGGGCGCTGCAGGATTTCAGTCCTTCACGGCGTAGTGTGTTACCAATTGTTGTCTTGGTGACTATGGTCCCAGCTGCCTTGAGATCATTGACAAGATCCTCCCGTGTAGTTCTGGGCTGAGATCTTGCATGGAGCCCCAGGCCGTGGGAGATTGACAGTTATTTTGTGTTTCTTCCATTTGAGAATAATCGCACCAACTGTTGTCATCTTCTCACCAAGCTGCTTGGCGATGGTCTTGTAGCCCATTCCTGCCTTGTGTAGGTCTACAATCTTGTCCCTGACATCCTTGGAGAGCTCTTTGGTCTTGGCCATGGAGGAGAGTTTGGAATTTGATTGATTGATTGCTTCTGTGGACAGGTGTCTTTTATACAGGTAACAAACTGAGATTAGGAGCACTCCCTTTAAGAGTGTGCTCCTAATCTCAGCTCGTTACCTGTATAAAAGACACCTGGGAGCCAGAAATCTTTCTCATTGAGAGGGGGTCAAATACTTATTTCCCTCATTAAAATGCAAATCAATTTATAACATTTTTGAGATGCGTTTTTCTGGATTTTGTTGTTGTTATTCTCTCTCACTGTTCAAATAAACCTACCATTAAAATGATAGACTGATCATGTCTTTGTCAGTGGGCAAACGTACAAAATCAGCAGGGGATCAAATACTTTTTTCCCTCACTGTACATACAGGCAGAAAACACAAACAGCAACTGCTGTGTGAAACCTTACCTCATAGTGGTCATCAACATTTCACATTGGACAATATAAACAGACAAGGCATCAAATGATTTAATTCACATTAAAAAATGTATTTAACTTCCACACATCAGTGATAGAACACTCTTTCGTCTAGTTAGCAAAACATTGACTGAAGGAGGGAGGGTGAAGTTGTGAAAGGATACCATGATTTGATAACACACCCTGTATTCATAGAAGATAAAGGCATAATAAACCATATAACAATCACAGCTAACCCCAACCCTAACCCCACAGAACAATCCCTGCAGAGTGGTTTCCCTTCCTTTGGTTTGTAGGGTTGGAACTAGAAGGGCGCCTCAGTTCCTCTGTTAGATTATAGTGGCCACATTCCAGGAGGAAAGAACTGTGGTCTGTCCTAAATGACACCCTATTCCCCATTTAGTGAACTACTTTTGACCAGGGCCCATAGGGATCTGGTCAAAAGTAGTTCACTGTATAAGGAATAGGGCACCATTTGGGACACCTAAATGCTATTCCTGGCTCAGGTTTCACTGGCTGAACACATTGTTTAGAAAAGAGAGAGAATGGAGGGTAGTACAGAGAGGGACACTCTCCCAAAGTGAATGTTGAACAATACTTCTCTTTATACAAAATATGAAGAACCACACTTTAACTTTCTCTGCACATCTGCCCTGTCCTTTTTGCCTTCCCCAAGCTGAAAGATGTGGTCAGGAAACAAACATCTCAATTGAACTAGAACTGTTTTCAGAAACTCTATTTGAATGTTTTTATTATTATTATTATTATTATTATTTATATAATATTGCAGATACAGTTGAAGTCGGAAGTTTACATACACTTAGGTTGGAGTCATTAAAACTCGTTTTTCAACCACTCCACAAATGTATTGTTAACAAACTATAGTTTTGGCAAGTCGGTTAGGACATCTACTTTGTGCATGACACAAGTAATTTTTCCAACAATTGTTTACAGACAGATTATTTCAGTTATAATTCACTGTATCACAATTCCAGTGGGTCAGAAGTTTACATACACTAAGTTGACTGTGCTTTTAAACAGCTAGGAAAATTCCAGAAAATGATGTCATGGCTTTAGAAGCTTCTGATAGGCTAATTGACATAATTTGAGTCAATTGGAGGAGTACCTGTGGATGTATCTCAAGGCCTACCTTCAAACTCAATGCCTCTTTGCTTGACATCATGGGAAAATCAAAAGAAATCAGAAGTCTGGTTCATCCTTGGGAGCAATTTCCAAATGCCTGCAGGTACCACATTTATCTGTACAAACAATAGTACACAAGTATAAACACCATGGGACCACACAGCCGTCATACCGCTCAGGAAGGAGACGCGTTCTGTCTCCTAGAGATGAAAGGACTTTGGTGCGAAAAGTGCAAATCAATCCCAGAACAACAGCAAAGGACCTTGTGAAGATGCTAGCGGAAACAGGTACAAAAGTATCTATATCCACAGTAAAACGAGTCCTATATCGACATAACCTGAAAGGCCGCTCAGCAAGGAAGAAGCCACTGCTCCAAAACCGCCATAAAAAAGCCTGTTTGCAACTGCACATGGGGACAAAGATCGTACTTTTTGGAGGAATGTCCTCTGGTCTGATGAAACAAAAATAGAACTGTTTGGCCATAATGACCATCGTTATGTTTGGAGGAAAAAGGGGGGGAACTTGCAAGCTAAAGAACATCATCCCAACCGTGAAGTACGGGGGTGGCGGCATCATGCTGTGGGGGTGCTTTGCTGTAGGAGGGACTGGTGCACTTCACAAAATAAATGGCATCATGAGGAAGGAAAATTATGTGGATATATTGAAGCAACATCTCAAGACATTAGTCAGGAAGTTAAAGGTTGATCGCAGATGGGTCTTCCAAATGGACAATGACCCCAAGCATACTTCCAAAGTTGTGGCAAAATGGCTTAAGGACAACAAAGTCAAGGTATTGGAGTGGCCATCACAAAGCCCTGACCTCAATCCTATAGAAAATGTGTGGGCAGAACTGAAAAAGCGTGTGCGAGCAAGGAGGCCTACAAACCTGACTCAGTTACACCAGCTCTGTCAGGAGGAATGGGCCAAAATTCACCCAACTTATTGTGGGAAGCTTGTGGAAGGCTACCCGAAACATATGACCCAAGTTAAACAATTTAAAGGCAATGCTACCAAATACTAATTGAGTGTATGTAAACTTCTGACCCACTGGGAATGTGATGAAAGAAAGAAAAACTGAAATAAATCATTCTCTCTAGTATTATTCTGACATTTCACATTCTTTAAAAAAAGTGGTGATCCTAGCTGACCTAAGAAAGGGAATGTTTACTTGGATTAAATGTCAGGAATTGTGAAAAACTGAGTTTAAATGTATTTAGCTAAGGTGTATGTAATCTTCCAACTTCAACTGTAGATTGTGGCTTCCATCAATGTAATTGTCTTCATCATTTCCAACTGACTCTTTAACAACATTAGAGGAAGAGCTTCAGAGGAGAATGTAGTTTGTCTGTCAAAACAAGATCTCGAAAAGAGATGTTGTCCCAAATTAGAAAGTATGAGAAGAATTTGATAGCTGTAGCTCAGTTGATAGAGCATGGCGCTTGCAACGCCAGGGTTGTGGGTTCATTTCCCACGGGGGGCCAGTATGAAAATGTATGCACTCACTAACTGTAAGTCGCTCTCAATAAGAGCATCTGCTAAATGACTAAAATGTAAATGTAAACAAATTGAAAGTTTGCTGAATTTTTTCCCCATTTTTTCCCCCTTTTTTCCCCACAGCAGTGAATCTATCCCTTGAGGTTTCTGGACCTGGATCGATATAGGGTGCACAGCTATGCACAGTTGAAGTTGTTTGTTTTAAAACATATTGTTATGAGACTCACCACTGGGAGTGGAGCTCTTTTACCACAGTTTATGCCTCCAATGTTGACCATGTTGGGCATCCTGGGTTTGGGATACTCAAAGGAGAAGTCATACCTCAGCAGCCAGATCGCCCCGTGACCCAGCAGATCCCTGTACGTCATGTCCTTATCCAGGTACCTACTGGTCAGCTCGTCAAAGCTGGCAAACATTACCGTACACAGGTAGCTCTCCAGACTGTACATGAGCATGTTCTTAACCCTCCCTAGGAAGTCCATGTGGTCAGTGTTGCCAGAGAAGAAGCGTGGTACGTAGGATAGGGGAGTGGGGCACTGTGCAGCCCTCTCATCCAGCCCACAGGGGATCCCCCTCAGGAAGTACACCGCTGGGATGTTGAAGGAGTCAGCGATGATGGATCCACAGGGTAGGAAGGGGTCGGTCAGCATCAGCTGGAATATTTCTCCACTCAGTCGCTGCATCAGGGGCTCGTCATACAGCAGACCCTCACAGCCTTTCACCTGCATGGTGGTGAAGTCAACCAGGTGCTGCACGTTCACAAATATGTCGGTTACATCCGGGGCCTTGACGAACGCAGCGTCCTTCAGTTTGTTGATGTTCTTGTCCAGCTGTGCCTTGCTGTAGGGGACCCTGAAGGTCTCAGTCCTGTAGTAGTCGGAGCCCTGGATGAGGATGGATGTCTCAGGGATCAGCACCACCATCTCATGGCCCCTGGCCGCCAGCTCCTTCACCAGCAGCTTCATGCTCAGCCAGTGGCTCCCGTCTACAGGCATCACCAGGACCTTATCCCCCTGGACAGGCGCTGGACACAGGGCAAGGCAGCACAGCAGAATCAGCAGTCCCAGCCTAAGCCCCTGCCCCGGCCCCAGCCCCAGCCTCAGGCCCGGCCTCAGACCCTGCCCCAGCTTCAGCACAGGAACACTCTTCCCCCAGCCCATGCCTCTCTGCCTCTCTGCTCAGTTACACAAGCTGTGTTGTGAGAAGCACACTACCTCCCTGAGGTCTGGCACTGAGTGCTACTGAGAGGGGGCTGGACCTCAGACTAAACTGTGTGTGTGTCTCCCTGCTAGGTCTGGGTCTGCCTGTGCAGTCAAGCTGTTATATAACCCCAGTCAGTCCTTCCTGTGAACTGAAGTCTATCAGCAGGCTGAATGGTTCAGGTTAATGATGACATGGAGAGGATTAGCTCGCTATCCATTTCAATTTGACAGCCTTAACATATAGAGTAGCTGAGTTGGTTCTGGGTGCCGAGATTAGCTGCCTACTGGCTAGTGACTTATAATGTAATAGTTTTTTAAGCGAAAGTATAACAGTTAAAAATTTTTTTAACAAGTACTGAAACCAGAAAAGTAAGCACCGCTCATTTAAATGAACTCTTTGTAAAAACAATTAGCTATTTTTAACACAACACTCATTAATAATACAGCATTATACTTATTTCCAATAGTACTCATATTGCTTTAGTTGAATTGTTGGTTTTCTTAGTTCTACAAAATAAACTGTTGTCGGTTATTTATAAATGTCCCATTGTTCAGCATGACATTAGCTATGTTTCCATTAACTTATCCAGTGATTTTTTTGTCGACATTTTGAAAGTTCGCATAGAAAGTAGATGCCTGCTAGGGTGCGTTTCCATTTACCTACCTTAAAACAGCTGGACATAATGGCGTCACACCAACAAAACAAAACAAAATCACGCAAAAACCTAGTGTCCAATAAAAATGTTGTGGTTGAAGTGTTTACATTACCCATTTAGGCGCATTAATAAATTGGCGACAGCCTGTATGCCCTCCCACCTATCTGTTTCGTCTCTGGTAGGGCTATAGCCCGCTAAAGCCAGCATGTTGGCTATAGAATGCAATCATTTACTCATATTTGCCATATTTTAACAATTCTCATGTGCCAACGTATCGACAAGGTCTGTGCCATGGCGAAACTTGCACTCCTGTAGATCTGAAATAATTGGATGGTGAAACTTGCCAGCCAACCACAAAAGTAAGTGGAAGCAATTTAGTCATTCTGGAAAGTCAGGACAATCCTTGTCCTGCAAAAAAACATGATTTTTATAGTTCACATTTTGTATTTAGTAAGCAGCAGACATTTAGAATTAAATGTGGAGTGGAGCTTTATAGTTACGGGATACATCATGTGGCCCGTGTACCTTCAAAATGATTCGACGATCATAATTTATTTAAAAAAGAAAACGTTCCCATTATCATTTGTCGCAATAAAGAAAGTTAGACAAAATAAAAATACACCCCTTTTGAATGGATAAAAATGTTGTCAATCTAGAAAATGTCTCCTATAGGTTATCTGCCGTTTCCATTACACATTTTTTGCTAAATGTATTTTGTTGAATAAACCTGGGTCAATGGAAACCTGCCTAATGAACAAGTAATGTGAAAAGTAATTACAGAGCACGCAAAATGCAAGTCACATTTAACCCTTATACCAATAACCCTGCTCTGGGAGGAGTCTAACCATTGAGCTATACCCTAAATATCAAAGTATTACCTCATGTTTCGTGAGGAATCTAGACCGTTACCCCTTCAACTCCTACCCTTTCTCCTCCCATCCAAAACACTGACACGCAAATTTAAGCTCACAGTGGCACGCAAACCTGCACGCACACATACTTTTGCACGCACAGTTGCATGCAAACACCTTCACACACTTTCACACACTGACACACACACACTTCAAAAAGACCAGTGGCGTGCGAAGCAAGCTGCCTTGGAAAACAAACACCACACCTCCAGTCCAGGGGAGATAACATCTCCTGTTGGTAAAACCCCTTTTAGCAGAGTGACACAAATACGTTATGTTTGTCCTCCACTATGGTAATGAAGAATACAATATTAGATATCCTTGAGCATTCCATTCTAAGGAAAGAATAAATCAGCATTGAAATAACACTAAGTGTTACGCAATCAACACTATTTCAATCACAAATTACAATGCAGTAAACAGTGCTAATCAAAGATTTGGAGGTGAAATCACTGTGATCAACAATAACAATGTAGTCTTGAATACAGTCCCACCCACAGAAAGCCTTTATACACCACCTCCTATTTACTCTCTACTCAACAGAAACTGAAGATTTCTGATTAAATAAGCTAAATATGAAGTTACTGTACTTCAAGTGATCGGACAGTTGTCTGTTTGTTGTTACCATGTTTGTTTTCCCATTTTCACTGAACAAAAATATAAACGCAACATGTAAAGTGTTGGTCCCATGTTTCATGAGCTGAAATAAAAGATCCCATAAATGTTCCATACTCACATAAAGCTTATTTCTCTCAAATGTTGTGCACACATTTGTTTACTTTCCTGTTAGTGAACATTTCTCCTTTGCCAAGATAATCCATCCACCTGACAGGTGTGGCATATCAAGAAGCTGATTAAACAGCATGATCATTACACAGGTGCACCTTGTGCTGGGGACAATAAAAGGCCACTCTAAAATGTGCAGTTTTGTCACACAACACAATGCCACAGATGTCTCAAGTTTTGAGAGAGTGTGAAATTGGCATGCTGACTGCAGGAATGTCCACCAGAGCTGTTGCCAGATAATTTAATATTAATTGATCTACCATAAGCCGCCTCCAACGTCATTTTAGAGAACTTGGCAGTACGTCCAACCAGCCTCACAAACGCAGACTACGTGTAACCACGCCAGCCCAGGACCTCCACATCCGGCTTCTGCGGGATCGTCTGAGACGAGCCACCCGGACAGCTGATGAAACTGTGGGTTTGCACAATGGAAGAATTTCTGCACAAACTGTCAGAAACTGTCTCAGGGAAGCTCATCTGCGTGCTCGTCGTCCTCACCAGGGTCTTGACCTGACTGCAGTTCGGCGTCATAACCGTAACTTGTTGCCAGAAGTTTGCAAATGTTTGCCACTAGTGGTGAATCTGCGGCAAACCTTTGGCAACAATCATATTTCTTTCCACTAGTGGCAAACAGTTCACCAGATATTTCTTTCTGGCAAACAATTCTCTCAAGATTCTATTTGATTCTGTGGAAACCTGTGGCAACAATATTTATTGCCATTAGTGGCAAACAGTTTACCAGAAGCTGTTTCTGGTGAACACATGAGTTCCAAGACCATTAACCGTTGAGGACCAGTCAGGGGGAAAGGAAAGTCAGGAGGAAAATGGAAACCAAGCTATCTAGCTACCTACCGAAGTTGTCTGGTGAGTGTCTAACTTACAGTATTAATTAAACTTCCTAATAAACGTTACAATTGTGTTAGCTAATTTATACCTAGTTAGCAATGTCATGGTTCATGGTGGCCCAAAGGCCGGCAGATGTTTCATTTTAAGATTGTAAGATGAAACGACTCAATTTCTGTCACGCCCTGGCTCTGGGGACTTTTATATGTTGAGCCAGGGTGTTAGTTTCTATGTGTTCGTTTCTGGGTGTTAGGTTCTATGTTTCATTTTCTAGGTTCTTGTTCTAGTTTATGTGTTTCTACGTTGGCCGGAGTGGTTCCCAATTAGAGACAGCTGTGGCTCGTTGTCTCTGATTGGGAACCATACTTAGGCAGCCTGTTGTGCACTTGTCTTTTGTGGGATCTTGTTCCGTGTAGGTTTATGTTTATGACCGAGGACTTCACGTTTCGTTTTGTTGTTTTGTTGCTGTGTGTAAGTACTCAATAAAAGATGTACGCATTTCACGCTGCACCTTGGTCCACTTATTACGACGATCGTGACAGAAGATCCCACCTCGACTGGATCAAGCAGCGTGACGAGGAGAGAGGATGGACTTGGGAGGAGATGAGTGCGAGTCTGGCAAGAGGGATGGAGGCCTTGAGCACGGGGGAGAGACAAGCCCAATACATTTTTAGGGGGGGGCTCACACCATGGACGGCGAGGCAGCGGGAGGCAGCGATAGAGCGGTTCGGCAGGTTTGCAGAGGAGGCCGCCAGGTTACGGGGGCCACTGGTCACGAGGGAGAAGGAGATTGTAGAGGCACGGCGAGAGGTACTGGGGTGTGTTACAATTCCGGTCCGGCCCGTTCCTGATCCCCGCACAAGGCCAGTGGTGTGTGTTCCCAGTACGGTCCGGCCTGTTCCTGTCCCTCGCACCAAGCCTGTGGTGCGCGTCGCCAGCCCGGTCCGGCCTGTTCCTGTCCCTCGCACCAAGCCTGTGGTGCGCGTCGCCAGCCCGGTCCGGCCTGTTCCTGTCCCCCGCACCAAGCCTGTGGTGCGTGTCGCCAGCCCGGTCCGGCCTGTTCCTGTTCCCCGCACCAAGCCTGTGGTGCGCGTCGCCAGCCCGGTCCGGCCTGTTCCTGCTCCCCGCACCAAGCCAGTGCTGCGCGTCGTCAGCCCGGACCGGCCCGTTCCTGCTCCCCGCACCAAGCCAGTGGTGCGCGTCGCCAGCCCGGTCCGGCCTGTTCCTGCTCCCCGCACCAAGCCAGTGGTGCGCGTCGCCAGCCCGGTCCGGCCTGTTCCTGTTCCCCGCACCAAGCCTGTGGTGCGCGTCGCCAGCCCGGTCCGGCCTGTTCCTGCTCCCCGCACCAAGCCAGTGGTGCGCGTCGTCAGCCCGGTCCGGCCCGTTCCTGCTCCCCGCACCAAGCCAGTGCTGCGCGTCGTCAGCCCGGTCCGGCCCGTTCCTGCTCCCCGCACCAAGCCAGTGGTGCGCGTCGTCAGCCCAGTCCGGCCCGTTCCTGCTCCAAGCCAGTGGTTCGCGTCGTCAGCCCTGTCCGGCCCATTCCTGCTCCCCGCACCAAGCCTGTGGTGCGCGTCGTCAGTCCGGCACAGCCCGTGCCTGTTTCACCGGTGCCTGGTCAGGTACCGGTCAGCTGCTCCACACCGGAGCCTAAGCAATCCGCTCCACCGATGTCCAGTCCAGCTCCAGCCAGCGGGGCCAGACCAGACCAGGGGCGCTACGGGGGGTTAGTTAGAGGGTGGTGGTCACGCCCAGAGCCGGATCCGCCTCCGAGGCGGAATGCCCACCCGGCCCCTCCCCTGTTGGGTTTAGTTGGCGCGGTCGCAGTCCGCGCCTTTGGGGGGGGGGGGGGGGGGGGGGGGGGTACTGTCACGCCCTGGCTCTGGGTA